TTTTTTAGTTTTAAAATCTAAGGAAAAATTAAATACAATAATTGCTGATTTAGTAAATAAATATTGTATCCTGAATTATACGCACAAAAATGAATTATTTTTACTATAAATAACATTAATACTTTATATAACATTTTTCTTGTTAATTAAATTTTTTGAAGCAGCAGCTTTTGAAATTATAAGGACGTTTTCAACACCGTAAATAATTAGAAAAATAATTCTACATTTGATTTATAATAATAAATTGAACTTCAACATATAATGATAATAGTTAATATTTAAATACTCTTTTTGAAAATATATAAATACAAATACATTCCAGTGCTCAAAGCGTATTTGATTTAAAATTTTGAACATTTAGTTTTCCACGTGCTATGACGATTGAAGATTATTTTAAAATTAGTTTGGTGAAGGAGGAAGTGCCAACTTTCATAGGTAGTTCCCGCCTACAAGATGTAACCTTTCCGACCAATTTATTCTGAAAGAATCGGAGATGATTCACAAGAGGCACAATGACAAGGTAGGGAAATATTGCAAAATTAAATATATAACAACTATGTGTGTGTGTGTGTGCGCGCGCCTGCGTGCGTGCGTGCTTTTGTGTGTGTGTGTGTGTGTACGTGCGTGCGTGTGTATATGATTCATATACGGTTTTGCACAATACTTTTTTTTTTTTGTTTTTTTTTTAATGAAAAAAAAAATTATGTAAAGATTCATAATAGAATTAAATTTTATTTAAATGTATAAAGTAATATAGCGCAAGAAGCAAATATCGTTTCGCAATTATATTCGATGTATAAATATTAATGATTAACGTTATTTCGAGGCTAGCAATTTTCTTAATATTAATTTATATTTACACGTCATCTTTCCAAATTTCGAATTAAATCATTATTCAAATCTAAAATTTGTACATTAATGATTTTAGGTCATTTTTATGAGTAAATTATTTACGACTTAAGAGCTTTAAAAACTTTCAAAAGGCAATACGTGTGTTGTAATTTATTTTCGGCGTTTTTAAATGACTGTTCCATAAATCGATAAAAAATGACCAATAAATATTATAAAGCTAACGTACAGCTATTTGAATATTTGAATCAACTCAGTCATGTAAATAGTAGAATTCTAATTCTATCGCTCATATTTTATGTAACTACATTGAGATGTGTACGTTTTAATGTTAAAAATGTAAATATTATGCAATTCGCGTATGTGAACGCTACCATCGATGTATAAATGAATTAAATAAAAATTGAAAACATTTATTTTTAACATTCAACTCCATTGCTATTCCGTAATTTATTTCTAAGCCCCCAACCGATCAATGACAGAGCACACAAAGCAATTATAAAATGCAAATTTTTAATTGATAAAGTCGTCGTCCTACAGCATCAAAACTAGGTGAAAACATTGTAAATAAAACTTATTAACTGCCTGAGTAACGATTATTTCCAAATTCGACTTTTTTTTTTATAACGTACCTAGACATTAGAAAATACGCCATTGAACCACATCAACCGACCCGACGTAAGTAATGTATTTATCTTGGTCACGGCATTTCACTCGCAATTAGTTAAGATTGTCGACGATGTAAGTGAAGAAACTCCAAAAGCACGGCACAATCATTTTCCCTAACGCGCATTTGCCGTAGCAACTTATAATTACGCGCGTGACGCAAACGTTAAAAAGACTGCATCGAAAAAGGCGAAGATGAAGAAGCGGAGCGTAGGGGTAAAAAAGAAAAAAAAGGCTAAGTCGAAGAAAGAGGCCACCATTGGTGTCTAATGGCGTGGCCCACGCGTTAATATCCAATCACGGAATCAGCCCTTCTCTCTTCTCGCTCGCTCACTGGTAACGGCCATCCATTAGGACCTTCGGCACATAAGGGTCGCACTCACACGTGCCCGTTTACCCATAACGCACACGCACACGCGGGCGCACGCACATACACACACGGTGAAAAATCCAAGGATGATTGCGCAGAGGGGTTAGGTCAACCTGGGGGATGAGGAAGTGGCATGACTCGGGCTTACGGGTGCGGAGGACCGCGGACACCTAGTCGGCGACTCAATACAACGGCGTGTCTCGAACTGAGTCCAGGCAAAGCGGATTATAAACCGTGGAGTTCTTCCCCAAGGTGTGCGCGCGAGGGTGCGCGCGAGTGCTCAAACAGTAAAGAAAGAAAGAAACAGACAGATAGGTAGATGCATAGATAAATTGTATATATATATATATATATATATATATACCGCGAGAGAGAGAGAGAGGGGGGGGAGCATGTAAGAGAGACGAGTGTTGTGTCTGTGTGTGCGTATGTGTGTGTATGTGCACGCGCGCGTATGTGAGGAGGAGTGCAAAGATAGAAGAGCGGCAACGAGAGAGGGATTCATCGAGACGAATTAAAGCTAAGAGAAATTCGTTGCTCGTGGCTTTTCGAACCAAGGTTCACGAAAAACTTCTTCAACTTCTTATTATTTTACCGCCCATCGAGTAGACGCCGAGGAGAAATAACGAAGATACTGGCCCCGAGTCACCGGGGAGTACGTATGAAAACTACGATACGGAGGAGGGAAAAACAATCGAGGGATTCACATAAAATTTTATTGCGAATTGCCGTAATACATAACTACGGCAATTTCATTATGGATTTTCCATATGTATATCCGCAGTCGTTATTGCAAGCTTTAAGAACACTATTGGTCGGAAATGTTTTTATGCCAATGACTTGAGCTTTGCTTTAACAAAAAGTTTTTCCTGATTCAACCAAGGCTAGCACCAAAGAGCCTCTGTTTTCTCATTAAATCTTCAGATTTCACAACTGGAGCTTTATTAATCGTATTATTCCTTTAGATATTCCAAGGCAACTACGTTTAAAAATTTTCTGACACAATATTTAATAAGTTTACTTTTAAAACACGCAAAATTCCTTTTAATCATAAACATGGTACTTCTTATATTAACAAAAAAAAAAAAAAAAGCTCATTAACATAATATAACTTTAAGTTTCTTTGTACTATTGTGACAACGTACATAGTATTTCAGTAAATATTACTGGCTTTATAATGACGTTAAAAGTTATTTTTACATTTTTATAATATAAACGTATCTTATTTCTAATCTTTAGGTTTATTGATATTTACCAGAATAATAAGGACACTTTATCCTAACATTTAGCTATAACTGTAATAATGTTTTGCACCTTGAATTGCATATTATATTCGAGGTATTACAAGTTGTTCAACGCAAGCAAAAAAATTACTGTTAACAATAGAGCTAAATAAAGGATAGGAATGAAAAATAAAACTATTAAAATTCAAAATATAAGATAATTAATGATATTCAAAGTATATTATTAATTAATTAATTAAATAAAAAGAGAAGAAAAAAAAGAAAAATAAGAGCTAAAAATATTAAAAGGAGAATATTTAACTGGGAGCTACTGATTAACCTTCAATATCATCAAATTTAAGTATAGCATTACTGATTAACGAGTAGATTATCTGCGATTATTAATTGCTTGGCCCAAGTGCAACCATCCGTATGAAAAAAAAAATTCGCTTAATCGCAGAATGCTGAATGTCGCGCGAATATCAATGAGGTTCGAATAGTAATTGAAACAGTCGATGAAAGAAGTGACGACGTGTAAGCATATTTTTAAAATTTCTGCCAAAAAATCGTATATAACCAACGACCGTATACGATGAGTGAGAAATTGTGAAGGTCGGCTTGGGTAGAGCGCGAAGAACTCGGCGGTGTTGAGCGTCGCTCGTAGATTAATAAATAAGTTGGCCGACTTTTCCGACCGTGAACGTGTTGCTTCATTTTGAAATGGAGACGGATGCGCGCGACACCATGAACGAAAAGAGATAGAAGACGAATGGGATGAGGAGGGAGTGCGCCTAAAGAAGCTTATGTGCATGGATATGCGTATGCGCGCGTGGGCACGCATGCGTGTGTGCGTAAGCGAATCATAATCGACAAGGGGAGGAAAATGACGAGGAAGCGACAGACAAAAATATGACTTCCAAGTAAGCGGTAAAATGTTCGACGTAGCTGTTTATGTGAACGTTTTTGAGAAAATTTGCGACTATCATTTCACTACGCCACCAAATCGATACAATTTTTATAGAATTTTGTCATTCCCATTAAAATTTTGTATGAATTATTCGAAATATAAATAAATAATATACATTCATTTTAAATTCATACAGCATAAACTTTTCAAGACATGATTCACTTAATTTATTTTCACTTAATCAAATCACTTAATCGTACATCTTGTTAAATTATGGTTTATTTACTTTTTCGTATAACCAATACAACATTCTGTAGTCCGTTTATCACTGCTTTATCAATATTAATAATATGCATTACTATTTGTTTTTACCGATTTAAGCTGTGATAATCTATTGAAATATATTTTCATTGAAATTTATAACAAGAATTCAATGCCTCGGTACACTCCTTCCTTTTCTTCCTTTTTCTTTACATTTCACGCAAAATATTCTCTCTTAACAATTAACCCTTAGCATTCTTTTTTATTTATGAAATTAAAATTATTTTCTATTTAAATATAAATGTTTTGAATGTGAGACTAAATAAATAAATAACTACTTTAATCTGAATTAAAATTAAAAATTATACAATATCAAAGATACTGAAATAAATAAATACCACATAACTTGATGAAATAATAAAATAAATCTCCAGTAAAGTATTTAATTGTAAACCTAGAGAATTTCTTGTCTGCGTTACATATTATCAATTACAATCCATAAACAAATCTTATGAGTATTAAACTGTAAATACGCCCACCCGTGTATTAAACATATATTTTATCAAGTTTTGAAATGAAATACTTAAAGTTATTATTTTAAGACGAAGATCGTTCGGTTTATTTGAACTCATAAGTTTATGGAAACACTTAATTAATTTATAGAATCAGGACAACGGTGAATCGTAAAAATTAAAAATAGATAAAAAAAAAAAACAAAACTTACTTTGTTTTCGAGAGGTTCGGGTCACTGGTCTTTCGCTTTTCACGTAGCTGCCGCTGTAAGCAAGAATTATATTCTATTTATAGCTTTTATTTACATTTAGGACTTAGAAAAAATGTTAAACTTACAGTCTAGTTATATCGTGTTGCTAATTTATTATCTTTCCCAATAATGTATCACCTCAACGATTCATATTTTAATTTTCATGAAGCATCTTATGAAGTTTATTGGAAAGAAAATGTATTAAGTCAATAACGAATGGCTTTAAATATTTTAATTCGAGTTCATAAATTAAAATTCCAAATACTATTTAAATTCGTTTCATGAATGGACTTTCTCAAGCTATCTCAAGCTAATTATAAGCACCGTCGATTTTAAGATTTTAATTATATAACAGTCACCTTGTTTCCTTTAGTAGTATTAAAATGTTTGTAAGCATGTAGAAAGGCGCCATAAACTTATATTTGACACTCAATAGTTGCATTATTAGTCGATACGATTTTTTTTGTTTGTATAGCGATTAAATGATTACTTGTATGACACTATTATTAAATAAATAAATGATACTTCTCAGTAAAAATATTTAATTTGAATTTAATATAAATTAAAACAATAATACATCAGTGGATAATTGAATATTTGTTTTTATCTGTGTAAATGATATTTTCAAAGGAATCAAATTCATTTGTTGAAATTAATTTTATAAAACAGTGATTTACTTTTCTTCTATCTCCAATGAAATTGAATATGTAATTTAAGAGTGGATGAAGTTGATGAGCAACAAATGAAAAATAAAATACTATATATATATATATATATATCAAAGTTTTAAATTGAATTTCTTTAAACCTAATTTCATTATATTTATTAAAATCTTGGGTTTGTAAGCTTGTGGCGAATAAAGAAAATGTAATAGGTTAATTTTTACTCACCTTATGATGTATCCGTTCTTTGTAACTTTCAGACCTGTTTATGTTTGACGTCTTTGGCTTAGTGGAAATATTTTGCTGCACCCTAAATCATTATAAGAAGCAAAGAGAGGCGCAAATAATCAATAGTGAATGAAGATTTTATAAAAGTAGGCGATAAGTAACGATATAATTAATAAGTGGGCTTTAATAATTATAATTTATGAATTAATATTTCTGTATCAATTTTATTTGAAATACGTGTATAGATGTGCAGATCGACATTTTGATGTATGCATCTTATTAATTACATCATATACCATATACTAGAGGAATAATAATCGAGCGAATTACATGCAATATAGTTTGATTAAAGATTGCGGTTTTTCAAAAATCGGAAAATTTCAACAATATTAGAGACTTGCTTCATACGAAAGTTAGAAATTTAAAGAAAAAAGACAAAATCACATTATTTTTATATTTAAATTGAAAAGATTTGAGATAATTATTTCGTGGCATACACAAGCACATGTACTTTCGCACTCGGTGCTTTTATCCAATTTATCGTAAAATTCTCTTAAAAAGCGATTACCGTTGAAAAATCAAGCGACAAAAACGTCTTTTCGATAACTTGCAATGAACAAGATACCTCAGTTGCAATTAAAACAAACTTTTTGAAAATATGACGCGAATCCGTGAAATCCCTTGATAAGGCGATTTGGGACAAAGGGCTTTACAAAGCAAGCGAGCAAGATAAAAGATGCGAAGAATAAGCATACATTTCAGAAATGTCCTCCCTCGAAGAAGGATCGTCCATACTATCAGCGTGATCGCCGCTTCCGAAGCCGGAAACACGACCTCGCTCGCTGCCGCCTCGTGCACTTCCTGCGGGACCGCTTCCGCGATGTTCTCCTACGAAAAGAAAATTGACAAACACATGAACAAGGCGAAACGGGAGACATTAAAGTCAAGCGTTTGAGATTCGATTGGTTGGTTTTATTTTTGATTTTTAATTATATTCAATCACCATTGATCCCATCGAGCACATATTATGATAAGGTAACTCAAAGGGAAACTTTATACGCAATTGTCCTTACTTTCAATACGAATATTCAATAGTCAGCGATCCAACTTCAAGTACTTCCCGAAGGATTGTCTACTAATGATATTGATTTTTTTAATTGCAAATACATTGACGTAACTGTAATTAATTATAATACTATATGGAAATGTCATAATTGTAAAATTAATAGCGATCTCGTAATCGTAATCTCAAGTAATAATGTCTATTAGTACTTGGTAAAAAAAAAAAAAAAAAAAAAAAAAAAAAAAAAAAAAGTTGCAACGTAATAATTAAAAGGAAAATAATTAGGTTAAAATTCATTAACTCATCCACTTACATCGCGATACGATCTTACTAATCAACACAATTGGCAGATTATACATATGAACTAATATATTAAGATATTATCTATGTAAATAGCATTTCGCGAGAATAAATTATTTACTTATTATCGACTTAACACTATCTATCTAACATATCATTTATCATATAACATATCATTGTCGGTTCAGTTATCGAAATAAAGAAGAAAAAAATTTACTATATTTCAATAGTTTTAGCTTGTTTGCTTTTTAAAATATTGTCGATATGTGCGCTTATTTTTTAACATTATTATATTTCATGCAGCAAGTCGATTTCGCTGTAATATTTTTATATAAAAATGCATACGCTGATATAATCTTGATTTGTTGTATCCTTGCACGCTCTCTCACTTATTTAACTCTAAGCCTTTCAAGTTCATCTGAATTTTCATAAACATAGACCTTCAAATCGATCGTTTCTGTCGGCTTAAAACAATGCAGGACAAGTCGAATGTCCTAATGTTGATTCACAGCCCCATCCCACACAGCATCAATATTTCCTAAATCTATTGGAAAGCCATGCGATAAATAATGCATAAACAATCGAGTCTTACGGAGTCCTCGGTCAATCTACTCGAAAGAGAGATTAGAATAAACGATCAAAGACTCATCGCACACTCGGCGTCCCATCATGTTCAATTTGAAAAGCCAGCAACTATCGATCAATGATATAAGGCATCGCTGCATCCCAAAAGATCGTCGCGACGTCATTCAACGTGCGTCCCGGTATGATGAAAGCCAAGGGAAGCGTCACCGAGGCGCGCGAGCTTAAATTTAGACCGTCAAACGCAGGGCCAAGGAAGGGGGGAAATTTGTGAAAAAGAACTCCAGATGAACCGACTTCGTTCTGCGCGGGCCGAGAGACGGGGAGGAACTGAAAGCCGAAGTTGGAGGATGTGCGTGTCACCGGTGAGTAGTAGTAGTAGCAGTAGAAACAGCAGCAGCAGCAGCAGCAGCAGCAGCAGCAGTAGCAGCACCACCACCACCGCCATCGCCGCCGCCGCCGCCGCCGCTACCACCAGCATCGCCACCACCACACCACCACCTCCATCGCCACCACCACCACCATTATCACTAACAACACCAGCAGCAGTAGCACCAACAGCAACAGCAGTAACAACAGCAGCAGTAATGTCGCAATAGTGGTAGTAGTAATGTAGTAGTACTAGCAGTAACAATAGCAGTCGCGCGCATACGCTCGAGGGTAGGAGCGAGAAGAGAGAGAGATGTATATACTCGACAGCCGTGATCGTGAAATAGTGTAAACGAGGAGAATGGGAATGAAGGTGAGATTACAGCGATTTTTCATTCCCTCGCACCTTCTCTTATCCCTCCTACCATCCCCTTCTTCCACGAATACTCCTTGGAATTCTCAACGGCTTTTTAAAATGTATTTCTACGACTGGGATTAGAAAAATTTAAGAATTTGATGAAAAGATCCTCGAATAATATTACTTAACTAGGGATTTCTACAATGTGGTTAAAGAAAATTAACCAAAACTTAGAAAAGTGTCCATAAATTCTTTCGATCCGTACGAGGAAGTATAATATTGCTTATTACCGCCACCTTCGTTTATTCAAAATAGATAATAAAAGTGTTGAAAGTTTCGGATTATTCTTATATGGCGTCATAATCTTTAAATAGAATGTATTAATGATTTTAAAAAAAAATTTACATTTTAAGAGGCAACAATGTATGTAACCCCCAAAATGTATGTAAACTCCCAATACTGAATTAACAAATATATAACTTTGAACAATCCTTTATTTTAAAAATACTCTCTTTACAAATGATCAAATTTCCTAAACTAACGTATACTTTACGCATATCTTTTATTAAATTACATTTCTAGGAATTTACTTTCATTACTAAGTGCTTACTTATTAATAACAGTAAACAGTAATAAAAATAATATATTACATTAAAAAATATTGCAGCAGTTTGAATTATAGTTATAACAGCGCCATTGTACATTTATTTTCAAGCTAATCTTATTTATGCTTGCGTAGAAATAAATGTACAATGATTTTGAACAAATAAGCAGATAGTTGTAAGTAACGCTTAACCATATTTACGACAATTGAAATTATACACGTCAGATAATATGATTATATATAAATTATATCCTATATGTTATAACGATAATTTTCATTTGCATTTTTAACGTAAATGACATAATACAATTTTGTAATTGCAAAATAATATTTATTAATACAGTTCAGTGTATTAAATAAGGTAATTCAAATTAAAATCTAAAATCTTCAAACTGCGAATAATTAAATAACGGTTATATAAAATTTATAATTAAAATTTAAAGATAAAAATAAAATATGTAATAATTAACATTATTACATACTTATATTTCTCTTAATACGTATATATCATTCATTGTTTACAATAGAATTTTCATAACTTGTATATTTATCTATGCTAACAAAACAACTTCATTTACAGAATTTTCGCTTTGCAAACATGCATAGAATAATTTATATATAAATTATATAACAACCCTATATGCATGTATGCGCGCGCGCGCGCGCGTGTATGTATGTATGTATGTATGTATAGATTGAGAGAGGGGGGGGGGAGGGGGGAGGGAGGGTCGTCTGCGTATGCGTTTATATATAGGCTATAATTCAATTGTAAATAAGCTTACACCCTGATGAGAAATTTAGCTTTAATGCTTGTAATCCGTCGCGTTAAGAACTAAACTACAGGCAAACTTATATTTTTAGATATTTTTACTGAAATATAAAAAACAAAAAATGAAAAAAAAACTTTATTTCTTTAGTATAAGGTTAACGTGATATTTTATAAATAAATGAAAATTTACTTTACACATAAGTACATCCTATAGTTAATAATGCATAATTAATCGATATGAAATGTCGGATAAGGTAGCAATTATTCAAGCATTATAACAAACAGCTTGAAAAGTATTATAAAATCACGAGCGAGACTAAATGATACGATACACAAGGATAAGGATAAGGATACATAAGGATAAGGATAGTAGGATCATAAAGAATAAAAAAAAAAAAAACAAAAAAAAAACAAACAAACAAAAACAAGAATCTAATGAGAATTATTCGGAATTTTCGCCACAGCAATTAGAAAAGTGAGAGGTCGGGACAGTCGCAAGAAGCGAGCCGGATATAAGGAAGGTCTATCTATCATTTCCGCTCCAGTGATCGACGGCATCAGTCGCAGTCGAACGCGCCGTACTAAAAATACGCGCTTTTAACGTTCCTGTCATGCCCTCTTTATGCCCTCCGCGGACCAGCGCCATTTTTAACGATCTCCTCACGCGCCCTCGTCGTACATGATCATTTGCATTTGCTTCGACGAAAATGCAAAGAGCATTAACGCAATGTATTGGTTATTAATTTTAAAATTAATTGAAGTTAATCGATATACGACTCTCGCTCCCGCTCTCTCTCTCTCTCTATCTATTTTGCTCCAACCGCATTTCCATAATTGGGGCATTAAATAAAAAAAAAAAAAAAAAAAAAAAAAAAAAAAAAAAAAAAAAAAAAAAAAAAAAAAAATAATAATAATAATAATAATAATAATAAAATCTTAAACTTTCAAACAAACGCTATTATCTTAAATAAAACAAAGCTCAACGCTTGCCATGTGCGCGATTGTCCAAGCTCCGTGCCTTTGTGGACAGGAAATTATGTCGATCAAAGAACAATTTCTCAGATATTAATGAAGTGTGAGCTTGATGCTCATTTATTATGAATAAAGGGTTTTTCAAAGAACGAAGTATAAATCAGAGATATCGATGCATCAGAGATATGTATGAAAATATTATGAGCATCATTCAAAAAACGTTTGATAATTATAAAAATTTAAATAGCTTAATTCGATGATTTCTGCGATGTGCAGGCTTTGCATTTTTATACATTTAGCATTTTACTATAAAAAAAAAGAAAGAAAACAAAAAAAGGAGAGAAAACAAATATTTTCTTTAATGTACAATCCATAAGAAACGTATATGAATGAGCACACATGCGGAATGGATGTGCAACGGAATATATACGCACACACATGAGAAATCAAAGTTCCTGCGGCTTTTTGAGCCTCTGCCAAAAGAGATTTAATGACTTATGTTGCAGAGCTAATTTAAGACCTTCTTGTTAAAGCGGAGCTAATCAGCCGATTTGACGAATCGTTTTGAGAGCTTTACTCGCTGCATTAACATTATGAGACCCGCTAGCACTGAAACTTCCGGAGCTTTTAGCTATTTGCATTGACAGGATTTTCATTAATTTTTCGCAGCAATGTTACGTAAGCGAACATTTAAATTGAATCGTACGACTTCAATGAAATTGATTAGAGATACGCTTAGATTATTTCAGTAAGCCTTTATTTATCTCTTTGATGGTAATGGACAAAATTGCAAGCACATTTTTTAATTTACCATGACTTCGCTAGTAATGAATTTATAGTCATATATAGAGATAAAATTAAATAGAGCCAA